CCCCAAAACCCCAAAACCCCAAAACCCCATACCGATCATATTTAAAGATCATTGGAGATTATAAAGAATATATCAAGATATTAAATATATTTATTTGTAATCATATTATCATAATAAATGTCTTTTCATATCAAAGAAAATTAGCAAAAAATTAATAAAGATTAATTGTAGTCAAACTTGAATGGAAAAGACTAGTATTTTCATTACGAAGAGGAAAGAGAATTGATCTAGATTCAAAATTCGCCTGAAAAATTAATTGGTACTGGTTATCAGCCTGTTTTAGAAAAAATCAAGTGCTCAGATAATACTTAAGTATCAGATGGATTAAAAACCACTGTCCCGAGCTATAGAGTTAGCGTAACAGGCACAATTTTATTGATAATGACTTTGTTCTCTACAGCAGCAATTCTGCCTTTGCAAGTATCACTTCCATTGGATATAACCCTATTGAAACTGAGTTGGCGAAATTCTAACGTTGTTCCCTTTTTGCTTCTACTTTCTATCTATGATCTATTTACTAAGAGTAAGCAATTTAAAATTCAATCAATAGTGACGAATAAAGAAATTCGAAATCTTGTGATATTTACAGCAATTTCTTTCAATTTTATGCAATGTGGATACATTTTGAGTGGCTAATATACTATTATGTCACACGCATCTATTTTATCTAATTTAGGAGGAGTATTTTTGGTTATCTTTAGAACTGTATCTAAAAAACCAGTGCATAAATTTGAATTAATTGGATTGTTTCTTGCCATATTTGGCTGCTTTATATCAGTCCTTGATAAGGACGTCTAAAAAGTTGATTAATCAAGTTTAAATATAGTTGTTGGCGATATCAGTGGTATTTTATGCTCATTAGCAAGTGCATTCTATTATCAGTTTAATGCTTAGTTAGTCTCTAAAATTCCATCTTCAGTAGCTGTGTGCTCGACATTAATGTTTTCTGAGATTATGATTATTATCTATGGACTATTATTTGGATAATTTACGTTTGATAGAGATAAAATGACAGGTGTTTGGGGTTTCATGAATGCAGAGTATATTCTTTACACTTTATTTATAATGGGTCTTTTTTGTGGTACAATTTCAATATATACAGCAGCACTTGTCCTCAAGTATTACCCCCCTATAGTTCTTATGATAGTAAGTTTAATTGAACCAATTATTTGCCAAGTTTTATCATGCTTGATGAATATTGATAGAGCACCAGGCTATTTTACATATGTAGGAGGTATCATTACTCTTTTTGGTATATTTGGAGTAAGCTATGGAGGATAAATCCTTGAAAAAAATACAAAAAAATAGGAAAAATAATCAAAACAATGATAGGAATAATCTTTTTAGCATGAACTTTGAAAAGTCAGTTATTCCAGTGAAAATTATCAAAAATTATTTAAAGATTTATTTCTATTAGAAACAAGTTATGATAAGTAAATTTATAATTACATATAAACATCCCTTGACCTAATTATAATATTATTAATTTCTTAATTCTAAATAATCTTATTGCTGTTTAAATAACTGACTATCATTTTCGGGGTTTTGGGGTTTTGGGGTTTTGGGG